AATTAGTGGGGCATATATAGACTGGAGTGAGCGTTTGTTACAGTCAAAGGGAAGTGTATTCCTTTGAATGTTCCCCTTGATCTAAATAATCGTTAAAGAACTCTCTCTAAAACTGTGAAATCGGGTATATGGGGATATATATACAGAATCTTTCGGTTAATTAATATTAATTAATATTTAAGAAGCATATCAAATATGCTATTCAAAATTCCCCAATATCAATCAATACAAAATTTCGTGTATCGATATTTTGGTATTTTTTAAATAAGTCGTGTATTTATCGAAATATCTTAAATGTATTAAAACATATATAAGAGAACTTAAGCTAGAAGATATATTCTATAATATATCTGAACTTTCTGAGGTATATTAAAAAAAAAAGCATCTATTCGCATTTTGAAAAAATCTTTAGATCGAGAGACCTAATTTTTAATATGTACATACATCATAATCAATATGAAGCTATACTTAAAATGGAAGAACAAATAATCTATCTGATGTTTTCCTTATAACAAAGTCGGAAAAAATAATGTCTTTGTTGACTTCTTTATAGCAAAGTCCTATTTATTCTTATATTTATATATTAAATATATATAATTTTATATATTTTTATTTGTAGAAAAAATAGATTTCTCAGACATAAAAGCTTTACCAAATAAAAGACATTATACCCTTTTTACCTAATTTCAATGGGTAACATCTCTTAAGTCAAAGTGTTTCAAATTTTCTATCTTTTTACTGCTTGGGTTTAAAATCTGTATATAGGGTATCTGGCAGTCGACCCTAGAACACTCTACACTTTTTCCTCGCACTTTGCAGCTGTTGATGAACAAGGCAAAAGCTGTTGCTAAGCCGGACAGAGGAGCTGAGACAGCAGGAGAGTGAGGGAGAGAGACTGAGTGAGAGAGAGAGAGAGAGAGAGAGAGAGAGAGAGAGAGAGAGAGGGAGACAGACAACTTGCCGCATTACTCATACGCCGCGTGGTCGGGCAGGGCGTCTGCTGCTGCTGCTGCTGCGGCTGCGGCTGTCTTTTAATACCCAGCCACATAATTCAAAGTAATTTGCGAGCCGCTTTGCATTTACATTTGCCAGTTGCATTTGTGGCTTTGACGTGCCACTCTAGGCAGGCGCTGAAGACGGGCGACTCACGACTGCCTGCCACATATCGGAGATATATATACATAGATATATACATATATGCTGTGTGGCGCAGGCCTTGACTTTGCCGCTTTTCATATTAAACTTGGCACTTGCTCAGCTGCTTTTTCCCATTTGCAGTTGATCAATCAATTTATCAGGCACTAATACACCAGCAATGAGTCATCACACACACACACACACTCACACACGCACAACAAATTAGTCATCGCATAACTGTTTGGCCAGCCAGGCTCATGACACAACTGTCGCCAACAACAAAAACAACAACAACAATAAACTAAAACCATGAGCAGAAATTTTAAATTACTTTCGCAAAAGTCATGAATATTAAATACCCTATAAAAAAGCCATACAACATTCCTTTTCATTAGTTAAATCAGCATAAAAATGTTTAATAAAATATATTTAACTAATTTTTGATCAGGTTTTTGGAACCAGTTCTTTTATATATTTATATCTAGACTTCACAAAGCAAATTGAACAAATTTAATGTAAAAGCCGTTGTTATACATTTTCGAGCTGGTTCAAAAACTGCTTCACTACTGTTAAGCCCATATTGAACTAGTTCAAATTCAGTTCCGAACTAGTTAAACTACCTCATCACTGAATCAACTTTCCTATAGCCAGTTCAGAGAAACAAAGCTGCTTTTAAGTTAAGTTTGAATTAGTTCGTTTTTATTAATTGGAGAACGAATTCATTTATTTGTTCTCGAACTGGTTCACGTTATTTTCTTTGAATGAAGAACAACTTCAAGGAATTTTATTAATTTGCTAAATTCAAAAAGACACTTGCAAGTTTTTGTAATTACTTTCAACTAGTTCTTAAGCATTGTAGACTAGCTCTATTTTTAGATTTGTTTTTGAACTGGTTTACGTTATTTCTGTTGATTGATGAACCTCTTCAGAGAACTTAATGTATTAAATAAGTATATTTACAGACTTGAAAAAGGCCATTAAAAGACTTTGGAACTAGTTCTTAGACATTGTAAACTATCGCTTCTTTTAAAATCAACTTTTGAACTAGTTCATGATATTTTTTGCGGATTGATGAACCAATTCAGCGAACTATATTTCTTTTTCAAATATATTGACAGACATGAAAATGCTTTTAAGTGACTTTTAAACTAGTTCATAGACATAAATTCGTTTTTGAACTGGTTCACGTTATTTCTTTTGACTGATGAACCAATTCTGCGAATTAATTACAGACATGCAAATGCTTTTAAATAACTTTTGAACTAGTTTATTTAATCCGGAACCAGTTCACAAGACCCACGCTAAAGTAAAAGTACTTTCAGCTTTCGAGTGCAGCTCTCGCAGACAATTGAGCAAAATTTGTGCGCTTTTAAGTGCGCTTAATTGGAGCGACCTTTTGTGTCACGCCCTTGTAGTTGTTGTGTGGAACGGGTGGACCACGCCCCCCCCCCTCCCCTGCCCCTTATCCAATATATTTAACGTGTGTGGGTATGTACCCCCCTCCTGCTAGCTAGTCGTCCGCCCACACACGAACATTTCTCAGCTAATTTCATTGATGAATTTTTATTAAATAAATTATTATAATGAGGCATACGCCTCTGGGGGCCGCCTTTGGGCATGTTGCAAGTCAACGAACGCGCAAAGAGAATGGCAAGAAGAGGCAGCAGAAGGAGAAGAAGAAGAAATAACAAATACACAACAAAGCGCAAAAATTTGGCACACAATTGGTGCGGGGCAAAAAGAAATGGGGACACCAAAAAAATGTGGCGCGTGTTCGCACTTTGCTGGAGACCTCCGCTTCCCTTCCCCCTCTTCCCGCACGAGCCGCACCCAGAATTAAGAAAATCTGGATAGTATTAGGGGGAGAGGGGGACGGAGCACTTATTCTATATAAGAAATTATTTATCAACAGCAAAGCCGAAACTTGTTCAAACAAATGTGTCCAAAAATAGTCCGAAAAAAAACGAAAAGAAAAATTAGATATGTCCACAAATCTGAGCTCTAGCCGGGGGCTCTATTAATAGTCCAGGCCCAACCTAATTGATAATCAAAAACAAAAAGAAAAGTAAAGTAGACAGCCCGGCAATGTTTGCCGGCCCGAGCAAATGTTTGGCTAGCTCAAATAGTCGCCGATAAGGCGGAACCTCCGAAGCGGTATCAGCGGAGGCCTTAGACAAAGCCCCGAGCTGGGGCTAGAAAACTGTGAATGAAGCGAACTTGTGAATGGACGGAAAGTTATTGAATGAACGAGAAGATGTTGTTCTAGATTATCATCAACTATAAGCTTATATATACATATAGAGATTTTAATAGAAATTGAGTCGTAATTATTTTGAATATATATATTAAATGTTTTCATCTTTTGATTGCATATTTCAGCAAGTTAAATATAGTTATCGATTAATTATCGATTAGCATATTACATGAGCCACATATTTTAATTGAAATTTACTTTTATTACTTTCAAAATATATCAATATTCTGCCCCGCAAGCCAATTTTATCTATTCTTCCAATTGATAAAAGAACAAAACCTATCGATATAATTTCCATTTCGATACTTTTAGCAAGTACGTTAAATTTATATCTAATCAAATTTATATACATTTTTATTAGAAATTTAGTCGTAATTATTTGCACATGTTTTGATCTTCTGCTTGATAAGTTTATATTCATATTTCATAGTTCTCAACGACTGGCGAGATTAAACTTAATTTCAGCACTATCGTAAGATTAATAAAATTATCGATTAATTATCGATTAGCATATCAAAAGCCCCATACATTTTAACCGAAATTAATTTCTATTAATGCATATTCATTCAAAATAGGCCCACATTTAGCTATTTTTACATTTATGGAAAAAAAAACACCTATCGATATTTTTTGCCTTTCGATACTTTCAGTAGTTACTTGAGATTTAAATCTAATCAAATTAACGGAAATATTTAATTTCCCATATATTTCTAAATAAGAAAAATCTATCAAAACTTTCAACCATAAATGCTTTCATTATTTTGTAATGTATAGAGTTTTTTTTTTTGGACAATCTTAAACAAAAGTAATTAATTAATTTGTAGTCGTTAAGTCTTATTCTTTCATCTTATCAACAACTGAGTTCTTCATGAATTGGCATGCTGTTTGAGTTATATTTTGCCCATGTTACGCATCTCATGAGTCATGTTCAATTTTGGTCACATATCGATCTATCATGCAGTTTATTTAAAGCACATGATTTCACTTTGGGGAAGCAAAAATTGATGCATTTCTTTTACGTAGTCAGAGATTGTAAATAAAATGTGGTTCGGGAGATAAACGAACTTTAACTCAATAGAGTTCGAATTAAGGTAAAGCATCTTTAAGACAATAATCAGAAGGGGATTGAAACTTTGGAATGGTAAGTGTACTTTCTTATAGAGAGTGCATTTTATCTATTTTTTCAATCTCTGTTTCTGACATTCATCAGAATTCTCTAGAGAAGACATTATTAGCACACATAAACTTAAGATTTAAAGTAAAAACTGTTCTCAAAAAATAAATAATAATAATCTATAATTTCTTATAAAATGTGTATGCTATCCTTTGTTTTGAATCTCTCTTTCTTTCTTTTCAATCATCGCAAGTCAAATCATTTAAATCTCAAACCAAATTAAGACTTCCATTAAAAACTTTTCTCTAAAAAATATAATATAAGAAATTTAAAAAAATTCTACTCTAATTTCTTGGCACAGATGCTGAGCTTGAGAAACTTTGATCTCATAATAAACGAGCTTTTTTTGAGCTGCAAATTAAGTCTCTCTTTAATAAATACTTTAAAATCCGACATATATATATTTATATCTAATATCTTGTTATTTGGACTCACCTTTCAGTCTCCGATTCTGCATTTGGTTGCTGCTGTAGCTGTTGTATTTGTTGCTGTGTTAATGTCGATGATGTTGCTGCTGCTGTGGCTGCAACAGTTGCTGCTGCTGCTGCTGCGGCAGTTGTTGCTGCCGCCGATGTCGATTGTTGCTGTTCATCGCTCAAGCCGAGCGATGTTGTCGTTGCTTCCGCTGCTGTTGCAGCAGCTGCTGTTGTTGCTGTTGTTATTGCAGTTGCATTCGTTAAGTTCACATTGTTGTTGTTGTTGTTGGCACTAACACTCGCGATATTTGTTGGCGGTAATTGTTGCTGTTGAGTCTGTGTCGCAGCTGCTTGTTGCTGCTGCTGGTCATCCAGAACGCCAGCGGCGACCAATTGCTGCACATCGGCAATTGTTGCTGGCGCGCTTTGCAGCTGCAGCGCGGGAATTGCTACTGCTGCTGCTGCTGCTGCGGCGGCGGCAACACTTGGCGGCTCGTAGCTGTTCATGTGCGACAGCAATGGCAAAGTTTGCCCCTGAGTCTGCCCAACTACAGCTGCTGCTGCTGCTGCTGTGGCAACTGCTGCTGCTGCTGCGGTGCCAGCAACTGTTGCTGCTGTGCTAGTGGAAGTGTTTGAAGTCTGTGTTGCTGCTGCTGCCGCGGCTGGAAATGCTGCAGTTGCCGGCGCAATGCCATCGATTTGCGATGTTGCCTCCAGCTGGAAGTTGGGCGGCTGCGGCGGCTGCTGCTGCCCGGCAGCAACTGCTGCAAATGTTGGCGCCGTTTGTGGCGTTTGGGCGGCCGGCGACAATGGCTGATCCACATAGCTGCTGTTGCTGCTGCTGCCCAGCTGCGGCTCGCTGACAGCAACTGTTGCTGCTGCAACAGTCGTGTTGTTGTTGTTGTTGTTATTGTTGTTGCTGCTGCTGTTGTTGCTGCTGTAGCCAGCGCTGGCCACATCCATTGCTGCTGCTGCGGCGGCCGCCTGCTCCTGCTGCTTCAGCTGCTGCAGCGACTGTTGCAGCTGCTGCGCCGCCGCCGTGGCATAGTCCATGGGCAACGTCTGCCCGTGGGGCGTGCCCTCCGCGTTGGCATTGGGCGTGCCCGCATTCGCATTGACGCTGTCGTAAAGTTGTTGCTGCTGCTGCTGCTGCTGCTGTGCGTCGCTGTTGGCCGCGTTCACGAACTGCTGCATGCCGTGCACCACGGTCGCGGGGGCGGTCATTACGCCGCTGGGCGTGCCAGACAATTGGGCTCCACCTGCTGCAGCTGCAACTGCTGCTGCTGCGCCCGCCTGCAACTGTTGCTGCTGCGACTGTTGCTGATCGGCGAAATTCCAATTGGCATCGGCCGAGGCCGCCTCCAGATGATTCTCGTGCAGCATGCTCGGCGGCAGGATCATGCTCTGCGTTGTCTTTGGCGGCGCCGTGGGATCCGAGCCTTCCCCCATGTTGTTGCCGCCGCCGCCGCCAGCAGCAGCTGCTGCTGCTGCTGCCTCGGAGTTACCAGTCTTTTCATTGTTGTTGGCAGCACCGACGCTGGAGTGATCCAGATAGTCCATGCACATCCAGCGTCCGCGCTTGAACGGCTCCGTCGACTCGATTTTGACCACCTTGAAGCGTTCGCTGCGATGCTGCGTCTCCTTCATGTCGTCCTTTTTCTTGGTGCCGCCGGGCGTCACCGCCGCACTGACCACATTGATAATATTGTCGGAGACATTCACCTGCACGTTCTGTATGGTCTGGCCGAGGGAGGGCCCGATCGGGTCGACCACAACGAGGCCGTACTGTGAGCTGGTGGGTATAACGGGCGCGGTGGTGCTCAGCGCATTATTGGCAAAGAACACCTCCTCCTTGGAGAACGTGTCCTCCGACATGGATGGCGTTTCGTTCTCCAGATCCGTAATCCGACTATTGTCATCCGTATGAGATTCGTCCAGATCATCGGCAGACTCATCGCCCGTATCGCCGGCGGCATTCAGCTTGGCATGTCCCACCGTCACGGACGTGATTTGAAATGAGGAAGTCGTCTTTGGTTTGCGATTGTTGCCCCCGCCGCCGCCGCCAGCAGCAGCAGCAGCAGCACCTGCTGCGGCAGCAATTGTTGCTGCCGTTGCCGACTGATGCCCCTGGCTGTGGCTCGTGTGCTGCTGGTGGTGCTGATGATGATGATGCTGATGGTGATGATGATGCCCATGATGCTGCTGCTGCTGCTGTTGCTGCTGCTGCCATTGCTGTTGCTGCTGCAGGCCCAGGCCGCGCGTGGCGGCGCCATTGTTGTTGGGCGAGCTGGCCTTGCCGCTGCCGGCATCGCTGCCGCTGCTGCTGTTGGTGTTGGTTGCCGCCGTCGCAGTGTGATTGGTGCTGCTCGATTTGGGCGCCAGCGAGGTGCTCGAGGCGCTGCTGTTGCCCGTCGCCAGGCTGCTGTTGCTGCTGGCACGGGACACCGTGGCGCTGCTATCAGCAACAGTTGCTGCTGCCGCCGCGGCTCCGCGATTGAGCGCATTCAGGCGCAAACTCTCGCTGGTGGTGCGCTGTATATTGTTGCTGCTGCTGTTGCTGTTGCTGCCGCTGTTGTTCTGGTGCGCCTGATGATGATGCTGGTGCGAGGAGACATGGTGATGCTGCTGCTGATGATGATGCTGCCCGCTGCCGCCGAGCGAATTGACCTTGGTCAGCGGCGGCTTCTTGATGCTGGTGGTGCCCACCACGCTGACGCCGCGCGCCGGCGTCTGTATGGAATTGCGGCGAGCGGGCGCATTGCCAGCGCCAGCTGACCCGCCCGTTGGCTTGAACTTCGCATTCAGATGACGGTCGAACATGTTGTTGCTGCTGGCGCGCTGTTGCTGCTGTTGTTGTTGCTGCTGCTGCTGATGTTGCTGTTGTGTGTTGCTGGACTGTTGCCGGCGTGTTGCTGCTGCTGCTGCTGCCGTTGTGTTGTTGCCTGCTGCTATTGCTGCTGCTGCTGCTGCAGCTGTTGCTGCTGTTGTGTTGGCAACAATTGTGTGCGTTTCCTGTGAGCTTTCGGGCGAGGAGGCGGCCGAGTTGCTGCCGCTGGCCTGACCGCTATTAGCAATTGTTGCTGCCGCTGTGCTGACTTGTTGCTGCTGCTGCTGTTGATGTTGATGTTGCTGTTGATGTTGCTGTTGGTGTTGATGTTGCTGCTGTTGCTGACCGGAATCTTCGTTGGCAGCGCTTTGATTCTCGGCCATAATCGAATTGGATTTCAGCGTGCGCAAAGTTTTCAGCAAATAATCCAGTTTTGCTGACAATACTTTGGATTATTTAACAAATGAAAAGTTCTAGTATTTATTTGGTAAAGTTTCTTTTTTTCGTAGTCAAAGTTTTGGCTTTGTTTTATATGTGCTTAATCAAGTCTCTGCGGCAACTAGTTGCTGTTGCACAGTTTATGTTGCTGCTTGGCGGCAATTGTTGCTGCTGCCGTGCTGGCAAACGATTTGCCCACTTCGAAGATGAAACTAGCGGCTGCCAAGCGACGACGACGATACATAGCGACCGTTGCGTTACAGGTGCAACCAACTGACTGACGAATTGCGACGACGACGACGACGACGACGACGGCGACAACCGAAAACCGAGAGACGCGTCCGCGAAACTAAACAGTTGTTGTTGTTGCTGTTGCTCTTGTTGTAGTTGTAGTTGTAGTTGTTGTTGCTGTTGATTTTGTTATGCTAAGTAATAAATTTAAATTTATTTGTTGCTGCTGCTGCTGCTGCTGGTCGCAGCTATAATTTGCTTTTGCGCGTTTTATTAGCAACAACAACGCGCGCAATAACTACATAAGCCGCCAGCTCGGAGAGCAGCGCCATCTAGCGCTTGACTTTGGTTAGCGGGCGTTTCAATTTTCACACACACACACACACATGCACATACACTCACGCACACACGCACACACAGCACAGCACAGCTGTTGTTGTTGTTAATTTTATAATTCACTTAAAATTTATTTTGTATATAATTTTCTTTTAACTACGTTTTTTTTTTGTATTTATATATATATATATTTTTAACTAAGAATTTTAATTTAACTTTAGCTTGAAATTAAAAACTTGTTGTTGTTGTTGTTGTTGCACTTTTCACACAAAATATTTCCATTTGTTTTGTTTACATTTTCATGTTGTTTATCGCGGAATTATTAAACAATTTCTTTGTGCCCCGTTTACTAGCAATGCAGTAAGCTGTAGAAATTTAATTCCTGCGGAAGAGACAGAGACAAGAAAGAGGGAAGAAAAAAATGAGTTAATATTAATATTGAGTTAGTTTTGTTTATTAATTGAGTTAGACGCGAATTTAATACACCTCAAGCGTTAACATCACAAGCGAATTTCATACACAATTCGTTTTATTCGTTTACATAATTAATTGCCAGGCACGCGTTGGGCGCCATTTGTTTAAAATAAAATCATTTACGTATTCAAAGGAAATGCTCCACAGTTTGCAAATTAATAGGTTGCACTGGTTGGTACGAGTTGAGTTTTCAATATAAATAATATATGTCAATAGGGAAAAAACTTTATAAAACTTTGTAAGGGTTATTCCCATATTTAAAGGATCTTATAAATCAGACCTTAGCAACTGTATATAGGTTATTTCACAGAGTAAAGGCCCTTTGCAATACGACCTTTACCTCAAGAAAGACACATTTTTGTATTCTTTATCTATACTCTGAACTCTTGTTGAAATAGCAAGGTGCAGAGTTTAAAATGAAATAAGTTATGATCAAAAGTCCATCCATGAAAAAATCGCCTTTTGTTCTTTATATATATTCCCAATACCTGATGATATGGCAGCTTGAAATTGATCTAAATTCGGTTTTTTATTTACTTTTAAGAACCTTTACCCCAAGAAAAAATGGTTTTTCTATACTTGAAATACAATATGATCTAAAATCCGTTTGTAGCTATTCGAGAACTTTTAACCCTGAAAAATAGTTTTTTATTCTCTATCTATATTCCCAATACCTGATCATATAACAGCTGGAAATGAAATACATTACGATCTAAAAGTCTCTTTTCTTTTGTGTTGAACTTTTCAAGAACATTTACCGCAAGTACAATTTTGTATATCATAAAAACCTAATGAAATAACAAACTGCAGAAATAGAAGTGAAGAACAATAAGATCTAAGGTTCGTATGGAACTCTTTAAGAAGCTAGCTCAAAGTATTCAATTTCGTAGTTCTTAAAATAAAACAAAGTTCTAAAGAATTCCTGTATTCTTCTAATTGTTATATTATATTCGTTCTAATTGTTATAAAATATATAAATGAATTGATAAGTATTTGCAAATTTATTAAACTAGCGAAAGAGAGAGAATTTGATTATGATGAATATAAAATTTGTGGCAACTGCGTCTAGGTTTAACTTTCTAACAAACTTCAGGGTCAACATGAAGAGACTTGATGCAAGGAAAAGCAAAAGTATCCGAAAACTAAGCGAGTTACTTTTGCATGGAATATATGGAATAACATTCTTCTTTTAAGCTCGTCAGATACAATAAGTATACCATGATTATATATATATTGTTTTATCTATCTATCTATGCATCATATTAAATATTGGGCTTCATTTCATGTTATTGTTCTTTATTTAACAGATATCTGAGTTAAGATATATAGAATACATTCTTATATAATCTGGCATAATGTTGTTCTTTAAAGTTCTCATGAGGTATTACGTATCCCTTGTTTTTGTACTTTCTATACATATCCATTAAATCTTGGGCTCTTTTTCATATTATTGTACTTTTTATATCTTTCTATTAGTCATATTAAATCTTGTGCTTGATTTCATGTCATTTCTTAATCAATCTATTTATCAGATATCTTGGTTTAAATATATGGAATTAATCTTTGTATAATCTAGAATAATGTTATGTTTCTTTCCCATTGTACTTTCTATATCTATCTATTAAATCTTGGGCCTGATTTCATGTTATTGTACTTTCTTAATCAATCTATTTATCAGATATCTTAGTTAAGATATATAGAATACATTTTTGTATAATCTGGAATAATTTTGTTATTTTCAGCTTGTTATATCCCATTGTAATTTTTATATCTTTTTCATTTATCATATTAAATCTTGGGCTTGTTGTCATGTTATTGTACTTTCTTTATCAATCTATTTATTTATTTAACATATTAAATCTTGAGGTTGATTGTACTTTCTTTATCAAACTATTTATCATATTAAATCTTTCCAGCTGTAGCTTTAACTGCGTCTAGCTGTATCTATTACTGCTGGCAGTAGATTTCTTAACTGCGTAGTTCCACTGTGGGTTAAGTATTTCATTGATCATCATTAGCATGCGGACGATGACGATGACGATGATGATGATGAAGATGATTTTGAGTTTTTCTTTGCTTATATTTTGTTTTATTTTTATTTTTTTATTGATTTCATTATTTCCGTTTTACGTCGCAGTTTGTTGAATTAGTTAAGTGGCACATTAGACGGGATTCCTTTAGCGTATTTTTGGCTTACATTATCGTTGGCCAAGTTGTTGTTGTTGTTGTTGCATTCTTTGTGCCACAGTTTTAATATTTTAAATATTTGCTTTTTTTCGGCATTTTTATCTTTCAATTTTTGGTTTTGTTTTCCATTATTTTTTTGCATTATTTTTATTGATTTCGTTTACGGAAATAAACGCGCAATTGACGATGCCAAAATCAACAACAAAAGCCAGTGAAAATTTGTTTAGGACTTGGTTAGTCGACGTGAATATACCCTAGCTTTAATTGTAATAAATTGTGCTTGATATTCCTCGGTTTCCAATGAGATAATTATATTTATTAGTACTTCACTTTTCCTGTTTCTTCAGATTCATTTCTTTTTGCCAATTCTACATTCTATTATTATTTTATATTTAAAAGTATCAATACTCTAGTAGGGAGTGATTCGGCCTTTATAGTCCGATCTTGATGAAATATTTAATTATTTGTAATCATTATGTTCTATATGACGTCCTACACACCAAGTTTTGTGCATCTAGCTCATATAATCCTCGAGTTGTGCTTAAAAATCAAGCCTGAAATGGCTTTTGATCAATATCATGATATAAAGAGATATCTAATGATGTATAAACCCGTTCTGTGTGTGGTATAGACGAAGTATATATAATATAATATATATTTCACATATCGTCTCTAGCTTTTATAGTTTCCGGGATACATTTAGCCAGAAAGATACGAACATGGCTAGATCGTCCCAGCCCGTTGCCCCGATCAAGAATAGATATATTTAAAGGGTCGTAAATGCTTCCTGTTGCATACCTATACAAAGAAACCATCATACCCTTTTCACCCGTTTCAGTGGATTCATGGTAAAAATTTGCAAAGAAGAAAAAAAAAATGCGTAAATGAACGGATGCGTGTATTTGTGTTTGTTAATAGCCGTAAGCTTTGGCGATCATTCATAAATTTCGTGAACTGTTTAACTGTCATAAGCGGGTGTGCGTGAGTGTGTGTGTGTGTGTGTGTGTGTGAGTGTGTGCGGGCGCGTGTGTTTGACGTTTTGAACTTTTGCGTGTGCCCCCAGCCCGAAGGCAAAGTCAAGACCTTGGGGCCAACCATTATTTGACGTGAAACAAACGACACACAAAACTTTTTAATACGCAGCAAAACAAAAACAATGGAAAAGTAGGGAAAAAAAAAATCAGTTATAGGTCAACTCTGGTCAGGTAGAGGTCTCTCGGCCTTGTGTTCTTGGACAGGTGACTTAATTTGGTAACAGAATCTAACGTCAATTAGTCTGCGAATTCAAGAACACGTTTAACAGAGATTTGAATCTGGAATGTCTTTGATTAGAGCTTGAATTAGTTGAGAATTTTAATAGATGGACTAACATATCATCAGCTGTTCTATATGGAAACGAAGAACACGTTAGAATAATGGTTTTTCGTGTGGATAAATTAACTGAAATTATGAATTTTATTGAAAACTCAAGTTAAGAGCTTATTTTTTTGCGAATTCTCCCGCTATATCATATTGTATTTTTATAAAGAATCGCCAATATTTATTGTTGTTTAAATTATTTATTTCCCTATTTTATCAGAAATCAAGGGTATATCCAATTGCATTAGGGGTGTTCAGTGTTTCGTAATTCACGTATTCCAAATGATTTCTCAGCTGAACGCATTAATTAATCGAGCGACTTTTATTACATTTGCCCATATTGTGATTACCTGGAGGCCCATTTAGATTTCTATTAGCGCACGTAAGCTCGGATAACTGTAATTTATATCTCTGTAGCTCAAAGTAGCTGATGGGTAGGTGCCAGAATTGTACTCGCTTTTCCAATGTATCCAACAGATACAATTTGCCTTGAAGGGGGCCGCTGGCTGGCCCGACGCCTGCCTCAACAGAGGCGACAAACAATAAACGGAACAACAAAAAGAACAACAACAACAACAATAACAATAACAAGCGCAAAGCGCATCAACAGAAGATGTGAAGGAGAGCGAAAGAGAGAGAGAGAAGAAGAACTAATTGCAACGACAAAGTATAAAATCGATGAAGCAAAAAATATAATGAAGAACAACTACAACAGATAGCGCAGCGCAAAGAAGACCGAAAGAGGGTCTGATGGGGAGGGAGGGAGGGATGTAGGGGTAGGCAAGATAGGGAGAGTGCAGAAAACTTACATATGGTAAAAGAGAGAGAGAGAGAGAGCGAGCGAATGCGCGTTAAACAAATTGCAACAATTTTGCCATAGAGCCAAAAGAGCGAGAGCGCAAGAGAGATAGAGAGGGGCAGCCTGTTGGCCTCCTGCCTACAGGCACACACACGCGCGCACAGCTACACACACACACACACACACACACACAGGCACACAGCCAGACACGCGTAAGACAGCGAGCAACGTGGGCGCCTACGAGTGCGATGGGCCAGGGCTGCGGCGGGGGGCCAACATACCAAACAAACAGTGCAAATTGCCAAAGCGAGCGAGCTAAACGAGCGAGTGAGCGCGAGAGGGAGAGGGAGCAGAAGAGAGCGCAGCAGAGCACTGCAGAAGAGAGCAGCAGAGCGCAGTGTGGCAGCGCATTGTCGGCGCGCGCTCTTCCAAGCGCTCATTCTCTCTCCGCAGAAGACGAAGAAGACAGCTGCCGGTAATCAATATTGATGATGATAGCAGAGACAGAGGCAGCGGCAGAGGCAGCGACTGCGACAGCAGCAACGAAGATAAAGACCAAAAGGGAAAAGGTCAAAGTGAAATGCAAATCAAAACCCAACAAAGCAAATTTAAATGCAATTTAATTAAACGAAATCAATGCGAACACGAGAGCAAAAGAGGAAAGATGTGACTCATGAGAGAAGGAAGTGGTGCATGGGCCAAAAAAAAAATAACGGAAGAAAGAAGAAGAGTCAGAGCAAAGAAAAGATATTGCACACATCCAGAAGATACGCAACATCCAAACGTTGGAATATTTTCAATTATTAAAGCAAATTAAATCAAGCAAAAGTAAATAACAGAACAAAATACATATATCAGACGAAATAGGAGAGAATTAGTCGACTAGCAGATACTCTGCTTTTGCGCTTTTTCTCTGCCTCGAAGCTTTGGAAAATTCATTCTTTAATAACTTCGGTGTTTATTGTCCGATTGTTATGAAATTTTCAGTGCTACGAGCTTTATATATATAGTTTTTATATTCGATTAATCAGGGTAATTTGTGGGTAGGAATTTTCTAGGATATTCCTAATTAGTGCCTGGGAATTTATTGTAATTTGTGCTTAAAATATTTGTTTATCAATTTTGGGATCTATGATCTATGGTTTCTCTAGCCTTTATATTCTTTGAGTTTTTTTTAGAGAATTTCGCTTTCGACATAATATGCTCATTTTGCAATAGAAATTTCCAGGGTATATGGCAAAAAAAAGAAATCATAATCAATTCTATTTACAATACATTTGCGTTTGTCAACAAAAAAAAGTTTCGGACTACGCTGCGAAGACGTGACTTGGCGCACGCTGTGCCCGCAGCCCTCTCACAATCCCTTCCCCCCTCCCTCACCACACAAGTTGCATAAAGTTGCCTCCTTTTGTTGCAATCGCTTGCAAAATAAAACTGTGTTTTAACAAATGGTTGAACAAACAGCTAATGATACATATCGTATTTCTAAACAGAACAGAAATCAACGCGACACAGATTACAAAATAAAAGTCTGGACCTTATCGCGGCTGATGACACAGCAGAAATCAACAAGAAGAAAAAGAAGAGGAAGACAAAAGTGTGGCCTGCGTTTAGGATTGAAACACGAGACGAGATCGAGAGTAAATCAAGACGAGTCTGCAACTTTGCCTCATGTGGCAACAACAACAACAAAAAGAAAAATAACGATTCCTTTGTCTGCCTCAAGGTTAATTATAGTATTAGCTCGCCCAAGAAGTAGGCGCCATATCAGAGTTTTGTCCTATAAGAAACTGAAAGTGTCGCGAAATTCCAATTGGAGTTCTAATTGGAAGTGCGTTTATGTATGTAAAATTCTTGAATATTTTGTATTGCATTAACTATGCAATATTGGAGTTACTTTTTCCAGAAAATATAAGCCTGAAATTGACTATTAATTTTAGTTTCAAAGTTTTAATTAATCTTGAGAATACTTTTAATGAGGAAATGCGTGTCTTTTATTTATATATCATATCATATCATATTTATATGTATATCATATTTATCGGATAAAAGCAAATTAGCATTAACTCTAGAGCTCAAACGACCATAAAAGACTCGCATTTCCCTTTAAAAAGTATTCTCCAAGATTGACTGAAAGAAATTAAAGCAACAAAAAAACGAGTATCGAAATATTAAATTGCAATTTATCGCAAAGCTTTATAAAACAATTTGGTCAAAATATTATTCAATATGATATTAGAAGAACTTGGATAAGAAGTCAAACTTAAATTGAGGTATAAAAGATCTAAAGTCTTCGCTGAGAACTTAGAACTTCTAGAAATTACCAACAGGGCGTTATTATAATCGGATTTTCAATACTTTGGACTTTTTGTAATACATTTTTCGGAATATATTTGTTTTTCAAGCAATATAACCTTTAGAGAGCATTCAATTTGATGCATAGCATATATTTTATTGAATTTTCTTTTTTGGAAGATTGGATCTGCTAGAAACTGAAACTTCTGAGATCAAAAGATTTTAGGAATGGGAATAGAAAATAGGTTGAGGAATTTAAACAAGAAATCAACGTATGAGGAAACCAATTGATTATTCCTTTGGACAAGTTTTATCTTGAGGAACACAAGATCGAGAATAACTTCTATATATAATATAATATAATATACATAGTATAAATACTATATCAATTATTGATTAACTACAATTTATCGACTTTATTGATTTATATAGAATATCCAATAGAAGCAAAGCCTGTAGATCACAAGGAGAATGGGTATGGCCAGATTTTGGAATAGTTGAAAGTACATTCAGTTGGCATTTGCTGCATTCATTCGAATCAGAATCCAACTGGAATTACCCTACAAAGCAGGCTGTAGACTTCCGCTTAAAAGCGACAAATATATGAATACTAGATATACTATAGAAATGCACGTACATATATAGTCTGAATCAATGCGCTCACACAGTTATAGATGAGAAGGGGGGTTGGGTTGGGTTGGGGGTAATATTCCGTAATAGGCTTATCCAACTGGACATTTAGTCATCGGAGCGACGTCTCGTATTACCTTAATTGGAATCAGAGTCGGGTGAAATTCCTGCGTCCCACTTGCTGCACAATTCCCTTCTTGTTTTTTTTTCATTGGTTGAAGATTGAGTTGAAATGGGTGTAAACAAAGTGCAAACAGCTGATTTAGTTATAAACAAAATGATTAAATTGCTTTGCCAGCTGTTTTCCAATAAGACCAACAAAAGCCAATCGGAAAAATCTATATTCGTGTGTGTGTGTGTGAGAAAGACAGCAACAACAATGAATAGGTACAAAGTGCAAATACTGCCAACAACAACAACAAACGCAACAACAAACGCAGCGAAAATGAAGCGAAAGTGAACGAAAATTATAACAACAACAACGCATTTAATTCTGCTGCGACAACAGCAGCAGCAACAACAAGAACAGCTGCAAGGATGGGCGGACATCGACAGCGACTGCGACGTCGGCGTAGGGCAGCGACGCACACACAACACGCACACACTGGAAGCACTTGCATTTGAATATTCATATTTTTGGTTAGTTTTGCAACACTTCTTGTTGTTTATTATTTATTTTGCCATCATTTTCAACACACACACACACACAATTGTTATTGTTGTTTATTGTTTGCTTTATTGTTTCTGCTGCTTTTCACATCGATTTGTTGCACTGTGCAGCTGACGGAGACAGCGACGGCGACACCGACTGCGACGTTGCGTCGGGTTCTGTAAATGCAATCAACTTACAACTTCGCTATTAATTTGATTTTTCTACACTTTTTATGCATTTAAATTCAATGAAATTTTAACGAAAACTGAACGCCACAAAAGAAATATGTTGAATTTTCGTTTTGCAACTAAAATAAAAAGCAAAAAAAAAATCGGACAAAAGGAACAAATTTGACGTGAGCGAGAGAGCGCGTCGACTGCGAGAGCGCTGCGAGCGTGAGAGCGCCGCACACAACAACAACAGCAGCAGCAGCAGCAGCAGCAGCGCGTGTGATAGAGGGGGAGAGCATTAAGTAAACGAAGCTCGTGCATGGCAGATTTGCAAAAAAAAAAATTTTTTTGCAAAAAAAGAAGAGTAGAAAAGTCCAAGCCACTCTAAGCATGGACTGCCTGTGGCAGTAACAACAACAATAAGGGGTATTAAACAATTTAGCGCGGACGACGTCGTCAAATGGCTACCAAAAAAAAAAAAACTTTTTTAGGTTTTTTTTCCACTCACACATATGCATGTACATACACGTACATGCACACACAGAGTCGTCGGCGTCCAGCAACACGGGGCGCACACACACACACACGCACACACATTTGCGCTTAATAGATTTATATTTGTTAACTGCTTAGCACTTGTATTTGTTGTTTGGTAAATTATTCACATTTTCAGCGCAAATGTTGCATTGCTCGCCTTTTTTTGTGCCCGTTTCTTATTCAATTTGCACGCACACACAAACACAGACACGAATGTAGAGACACGCACACACACATGCACTCGCACTCACTTTACACACATTTTTTTTGTGATACGTATCGGCGCTGAGTGCTGCGTTGTTTTGCGTACAAATTGGTTTTGCATTTTGCGCTTAACACTTTGCTTGCCATTTACTTATTATGCTTGCGCTTGCGGTATTTGTTGCTATTTTCAATTACAAACTTTTCACCTTGAAATTTTTACGGCAGGCTCCGAACGGTCGACAGATTGTGGCGGTCGGGCGATATACGGTCGGTACGTTGCAACACTGACTGTCACAGTGTGGCCGGCAAAGCGATACTGCCAAATTGCCGAACCCCTTCGGCCAGCCAATCAAATGGCCGCTGACTAACGCAGCGGGCGCAATTCTCAAGTTTTTTAACACTAAACGCTTTTGGTATTTAATATATATTGAAAATAAAATAAATAAATATTTGATGCGGCAAAGTTTTCGAGTTAATTAGTTTGAGTGTTGTCCTTTAAAATTAAGTGTATTTAAGTTGCATAGTTAAAAATTGATTGCTTTTACATTTAAAAACAGTTCACTTCAACAAATTTAACAGATTATCTAAACAGTTTTAATCTACACCAGAAATATTTATTTTATGCACTTGCATTCAAAAACGATAAACTTTCTGTTGTATTTATTTTCTACATGACTTTCAAATATTAAGAGCAAAGCAATTTCAATGTGGCGGCAATTGCTGTGCGGCATATCGATAGTTGTTGAATTTCAAACTATCGATAAGCAAGGCAATTGCCGTTCGGCAAGCACAGCTGTTGCGCAGCTGTTCCCAGGCGTTCAGCACACTCAACGATTATGTGAACGCTGCTTGAAATGACAGTTGAACGTTTGAAGTTTCGTTAAGTTTAAGAAAATGTGAAAAAGCTAAATTAAACTTTATTTGCGGTTTACCCAAGGGATAATTAAATTAAATTAAATTAAATTAAACTTATTTAACTAACTTATATATATATATTTAATCAATTTGCAATCGAAAAGAAATCTTTGACAAGGATAAAAATCACGCTAATGATCGACAGGCCAACCCCTCGGCAGCTGGTCAGAGCCGAACCACTCGACCGTCTGCATTGGAACGTGTTTTGGATTAGAATTAAGCCCATCTAATAATGGCCTTTGAACTGCTGCAGACACCCGCAACCGCCCCCGCCGCCGACCCCCGCAACAAAGTCGCATTTAAATTGCAGCCAAGCTAAAATGTTGGCCAAAACCTGCCCAAAAAAAAAAAACGGGGCAGGGCAGGACAAGGCCTGCCTCCAGGCTAACGGCTCGCGGCTCGCGTCGTGCCGGACATGTTTTCTGCGTAATTAGTGCAAAGTCCGGCGTAGTGCACCCCCCTCACTCCGCTAAGCAACCACCCCCCACCCCCCTCCTCCCCTTGCGGCAAATTCGCATCCCTGCTCGAACGCAGCGGAGCGTGTTGTTGGTTGCCCGTTGCCTGTTTCGCATTTTTGCTTTCTTTAACAATTTCCATTTGATTGCATTTCGACGCCGGTACGCAACACACACACACACACACACACACGCACACAGGCACGCACGGCATTCATTAGTGTGAGCAGCGTCCAGTTTGGCCTGAGCTTAACTGTCATTTCCATAAAATCCCACAGCCAGGGGCTGCCCGACAGGCACACACACACACACACACACACACCCCCACACACATATACACACACTCACACATGCACCTACACCCACCCACACACACACACACTCGACGACAGACGTATGCAAAACTTTCTCTTTGCATTTGAATTTCTCCACTTTTTCTCTCCCCCTCAACTCTCCGCTGGCCCATAATTATGAAGATGAATGTCCTTATTGCTTTTATATCCTTTGCGTGTGTGTGTGTCCGTGTGTGTATACGTATGTGTGCGTATGTGTGTGCCCACATTCTCCATAAATAATGCTTTCGGTCACACTCTGCATACATTCGCTGAAATTTGTTGCCCTTTCCCCCAATTTGGAACACTAAAACTTTGCCCATGCACCGTGGTTCAATGTCAATTGTTAAGCTAAGCAAAATGTTAAATGTAATAAAATTGCATAAAAATAAATAATTAAAATTATTATGGAAGAAATGTATAACGAAATAACAAAATATAAAATAATGTTCAAAAATAAAAAAAAATAATTTTAAAAAATTTTAAAAAAATATATGTTAAATTTTAAAATATATCAATTCAAGGTATTACAAATTACTATCAATAAAAATTGTAGATAAATAAAATAATTGAAAAATATATGTTACATACATATATGTTTTATATAGAAGATTAACAGAGGTGGAAAGCGTTGGTGCTTTGTTCGATGCAATTTAAACATATTTTTAAATAGATTCATGATATTACGGTAAGTTCTCATTTTTCACGGGCGGAAAAAAAGTGAAAGAAGTTATACTTCAAATCTTAAGCACAAAAATTGCCATCTATAATCTAGTAAATCTATAATTGAAACTTAATTTCGATATGTGCTCAACACTCTTGCACCACTGTGCAGTGCTTAAGCTCTGTTTGCCACACGAAGCGCGTGCAACTAGCGCTGCGGCTGCGGCTGCTGCTGCTTCTTCTTCTTCTTAGCACGCGTCGTTGGGTCGTCGCCGCAGCAGCAATAATAAAGGCAAATCCGACAGGATGCTAATGCGTATTTAGTTATTTTCTTTATGTGTGTGTGCGAGTGTGTGAGAGTGTGTGTGTGTGCGTGTGTGTGCGTGGGAGGAATTGGGATTGAGGACTTGAAGCGTTTGTTTGTTTTATGCGCTGCTTTGGATACAACACGAGTGTGTCTGTGTGTGTGTGTGCGTGTGTCTGTGTGTGTGTGAGTGTGTGTGAGTGTTGAGTTCTCCCTTGTAATATTTGCATATTATCGATTTTGGTGGCAAATCCATTGAATATGGACAATTTCTGGCCACACAAAGATAAACAAAAACAAAAAAAAAAGTCCCAAAAGTTTTCCCAGGCTGGATTCTTGGAAAATACTTTAGTTAAACTTAAACTTTGGTAAAAATAATAAAGTAACTGGCCAGTGTTTGCAGACGTAACGTGATGGAAAAGTAGTTTTCAGGCATATTTATATAGGAAAGTAATTCATGCCGAATATTAAATACCCTGACAGTTATGTGGCTTACGGCTAGGCACATATCCGACCAGAATTGTGAAGCTCGAAATTGCTGAATTTTGTGAAGATGCCTCGAAAAACCAGACAAATTTAACATAAAACCTAATTTTCGACCGAATATGGTATTCCGATACTGATATGACTTGTCTTATATGTGAAGATCATCTTAGACTTAGTATACACCAAGTTTGATCAAGAATTCTTAAGAAACAAGAAAGTTTTTCCGATTGTTCCTATGACAGCTATATGGTATAGTGGTCCGATGTTGATAAGATTTTGAATATATGTGGAGAGCATAGTGAAACTATTAAATGCTCAGTTTGGTCAAGATATCCTGAAAAACTAAAAAGTTTTTCATAAAAATCTACTCTTTGACCGATCTTTCCTATGGCAGCTATGTGATATAGTAGTCCGATATTGATAAGATTTAGATCCTATATGAGAAGTAGCATAAAACGAGTATATACCAAGTTTGGTCAAGATATCTTGATAAACAATAAAGTTGTTCAAACAAGAACTTAATTTTAGATCAGTTAATTATATGGTAGCTATAAGATAGAGTTGTCTGATAATGCTAAGATTTATCTTATATGTAAGGTGGATCATAAAACTAGTATGTTTCAAGATTGGTCAAGATATTTTGAAAAACAAAAGAGTTTTTCATATAAGAACCTACTTTTCGACAGATTGTTCCTATGAAAGCTATAAGATATAGTGGCCCGATCCGGCAGATTGCTTGTTAGTTATGTTTTCCAAGTTATATTAAGATCGAATCAGAGCAAAGCTAGTTTACATAGTTAGTAGGAAGTTGGTTGGATAGTTAGAACACGGTTCTATGGATTCATCTTTAGATTAAGAATATATAAACCTTATAAGGTCAGAGAACTCTACGTCTATGCATTACACATTTGATGAACAAATTATGATACCCTCTATAAGGATATACATCCATCCCTTTCTGTTATTTAACGTTTTAGTTTTGCAGGAAAGATAATAATAAAGAAAAACCTTTTCTCATATTTAGTTCCCGATATACCTTAAGCATAGAATAATAAATATTACAGGGTATATGCCGGACTTAATTCCTACTTAAAAAAGCTTCAAAAGCGACCCCTAAATTTTCCATCGATTTAAGTAGCTTTTAGGCTTAACAAGAGGAAGAAATATAAAAATTCCAAACTGAACAATTCGATTTGCGAACTGTTCGAAATTCGACACGAAACGTGGCCAAAAGCGGCTGCGAGCCAATTCGAGTCCGGGGATCAAAAATGGCAAAGGCCCAACCTAAGCGGATTTCAACAATTTAAATAGAATTTTCTGAAGGTTTTTCTTTTTTTCGCTTTTTTTTCGGGGGGCAAAATGTCAAACATAAAACGACACGGGTCCAATTAGATTTGGCCCGGAAGCAGAGCTGCCCCAACCCACCCCCTGCACCCTCTCTCCCCTCCAGTTTTCCATTTATAAGGTGCGAGGGATTTTTGGGAAAAAAAAAACGGAAAACATGCTGATACAATGGGAATTATGAAAAGTAACGAACTGAAAATCGAATTGGAATTGTTGGCCTCAACTGCGCCGCGGGGAACAATTACCAAGAAGCAGAAGAAAAGACATCCTTAAATACTTGATATGCAGCACAATTTGCCAATCAGCGGCTGGAAAGTTACATGCTCTACACGGCAAACACTTTTCATATACCCTGTAATTGTTAATAATGGGTATACAGGGTTTTCTAAGGTTGAGTCGAATCGATAAACGCTTCAATCTCGAAAACTATTGGGTGTAAAAACTTGAAATTTTGGACGTAGCTCTTTCTATGTCCCATGCAGTTCAAACTAGTTTCAAATCAAAACGAGAAAGAAGGGCTATCTTCGGCACGCCGAATATTTAATACCCTTGCAGACCCAACCCTTTTTTATAATGCTCATAGTGATTCGCCCGTACCTAAGAAGCACAGGGAAAATAGTTAATGCCGAGTATGGTTAAAATGTCTTGAAAACAAAAAACAGTTTTCCATACAACAACTTAATTTTCGACCGATCGTTCCTATGGCAGCTATATGATATAGTTGCCCGATCTTAATAGAATTTTGCATATATATGGGGAGCTTAATAAAACTAATAAATGTTGAGTTTAATCAAATTTATCTTTATAAACAAAAAAGTTTTTCATACAAGAACCTACTTTTTGACCGATCATTCCTATGGCAGCTATATGATATAGTTGTCCGATCTTAATAGGATTTTGCATATATATGGGGAGCATAGAAAAACTAATAAATGCCGAGTTTGATCAAGATATCTTTATAAACAAAAAAGTTTTCTATACAACTACTTAATTTTCGACCGATCGTTCCTATGGCAGCTCTATGATATTGTGGTCCGATCTTAATAGGATTTTGCATATATATGAAAAGCATAGTAAAACTAATAAATGCCGAGTTTGATCAATATGTCTTTATAAACATAAAAGTTTTTCATACAAGAACCTACTTTTTGACCGATTATTCCTATGGCAGCTATATGATATAGTGGCCCGATCCAGCTGGTTTTGACATATGTACTGCGTGCAACAGAAAGCGGTACTTCTGCAAAGTTTCATCAAGATAGCTTTAAGACTGAGAGACTAGTTCGCATAGGAACAGACAGACGGACAGACGGACATGGCTATATCGACTCGGCTATTGATACTGATAAGATACTGATGAAGAATATATATACTTTATGGGGTCGGAGATGTCTCCTTCTATGCGTTACACATTTCACGACAAAATTATAATACCCTCTGCAAGGGTATAGCCTTATGAGGGTATAATGAATTAAAATAATATATAACGAGAAAGAAGTGCTATCTTCGGCACACCGAAGATTTAATACCCTTGCAGACCCAACCTTTTCAAAATGCTCATAGTGCTTTGCCCGTATCTAAGAAGCACAGGGAAAATAGTTAATGCCGAGTATGGTTAAGATATCTTGAAAAACAAAACAGGTTTCCATACAACAACTTAATTTTCGACCGATCGTTCCTATGGCAGCTATATGATATTAGTTGCCCGATGTGAATAAGATTTTGCATAAGTGGAGGGAGCATAGTAAAACTAATAAATGCCGAGTTTGGTCAAGATATCTTGAAAAACAAAAAAATTCCATACAACAGCATAATTTTCGACTGATCGTTCCTATGGCAGCTATATGATATAGTTGTCCGATCTTAATAGAATTTTGCATATATATGGGGACCGTAGTAAAACTAATAAATACCGAGTTTGGTTAAGATATCTTGAAACACATAAAAATTTTCTATACAAAAACTTAATTTTCGACCGATCTTTCCTATGGCAGCTATATGATATAGTGGTCCGATCTTAATAGGATTTTGCATATATATGGGGAGCCTAGTAAAACTAATAAATACCGAGTTTGGTCAAGATATCTTGAAAAACATAAAAATGTTCCATACAAAAACTTAATTTTCGACCGATCGTTCCTATGGCAGCTATATGATATAGTTGCCCGATCTTAATAGGATTTTGCATATATATGGGGAGCGTAATAAAACTAATAAATACAAAGTTTAGTCAAGATAACTTTATAAACAAAAATGTTTTTCATACAAGAAACCTACTTTTCGACCGATCGTTCCTATGGCAGCTATATGATATAGTGGTCCGATCCAGCTGGTTTTGACATATGAGCTGCGTGCAACAGAAAGAGGGAATTCTGCAAAGTTTCATAAAGATAGCTTTAAAACTGAGAGACTAGTTCGCATAGAAACAGACAGACGGACAGACGGACAGACGGACAGACGGACATGGCTATATCAACTCGGCTGTTGATACTGATCAAGAATATATATACTTTATGGGGTCGGAGATGTCTCCTTCTATGCGTTACACATTTCACGACAAAATTATAATACCCTCTGCAAGGGTATAAAAAGGCAAAGCTACATAAGTAAAGTCTTCTACTGACTATCATCTTCTCGGGGACTCGAATCCTGAACTTCATTAAATTTTAGATAAAAATATATACTTTTTGGGATCGGAGATGCTTCCTTCTGCCTGTTACATACATTTGCAGAAATACATTATACCCTTTTTAACCACTTTCAATGTGTTTAGGGTATAAAAATAAAATAAACATAGGAATCGATGTGAAAAGTTGCTGTAAAGTTCTTGCATTAAATTTAGGTTTTTTTTTTTAATAGAGAATTTGAGAACTTGAGAATTTGAGAATATAGAGAGAAGCGAGAGTGAGAGAGAGAAGAATGCATCGCTGGTTCTTTGCGAACGAGCGCGAGGAGTGCCAGCCGCCGCCGGAGGATTTGGCTGGGAAGGCGGCCGGCGACGAGGAGGCGGAAAAGCTGGTCAAGGAGATCGTCTATACGGATTGGCCGTTTTGTGTGCGGATCAAGATGCCGCTGCAGGGCAACGAGCATCTGGCGATAAGCGGCAATTGCGACGAGCTGGGCAACTGGGATCCGAAGCAGGTGTATATCATGGATCCGGCGAATTGCACCTGCACCGGACAGTGCAGCTGCCGCAAATTCGAGGCGAGGGTGCGAATACCGAGGAACAAGGATATCGAGTATCGATACTGCATCGTTGGCTACGATCCGCTGCTGGACGATGTGCTCATCCGTTTCTGGGAGGTGATGCCGCAGCCGCGCGCGATACGCAGCTGCCACAATATGCTGAAGCGATGCGAACACTTTGGCATGGAGCACGGACCACACGGCGGCGCACCCGAGCTGAAAGTGGATCGCGGCTGGGCCACAACGGAGACCTTTGTCCAGTTCAAGATCTTCAATGCGCCCTTCGTCTGGCTGAAGCAGACGCCGCGCCTCATCTACGTCTATATGCAGCCCATGTACGAGACGGAGCCGCCCGACTGCAACGTGCGGCGTCTCGACTCGTTGCGTCTGACGACGGCGTCCGTGATGCGGCGCCGTACCACGATTCCGACCCGGCTGGACATGCAGCTGGCGTACACGGAGGTGGCCAATTTGCGGCATTCGTGCAAGCTGCGCTATCAGCCGTTCGCCGGAGCCTGCTGCGGCCCGGCGGATCTGCAGCTCTTCCACTGCTCGCTGCGGCATCCCCGGGAGACGATCATCCGGCTGGATTTGTACACATTTGCCTACAAGTGCGCCCTGGACGAGCCGCCGTATCATTATGGCTACGGCTTTATACAGCCGGAACAGCTCGTCGGCTCCGAGGGTCAGGTGCGCGTCAAGATCAGCTGCGCGTCGACGCATCGGCCGCTGATCGAAATGAATCTCACGTATTTGATAATACGTCCGCTCGAGTCCATCAGCTGCGATCTGAGCGTAACCTACGAGCGCTTCTGGCGCGAGGAGCACCTCGCCATGGACATCGGGCATCGGGGCACGGGCACGACCTATCGCCTCGGCGAGAATCTGCACCGCGAGAATACGCTGTACGGCTTTAGACGTGCCGCTCTACATCACGCGGACATGATTGAGCTGGATGTGCATCTGACCCGGGACGCCCAGGTCGTGGTCTATCACGACTTTGTGTTGAGATTCGCCCTCGGCTCCGCTTGGGGCGTCGATAAGGTCTCGGCAGAGCACGACGTCCTCGTCTTTCCGCACGAACAGCTCAGCCGCCTCCGGCTGCTGTCGATGGGCGGGGCCAAGCGGGGCGAGCACATTGTCGTGCCGCTGCAATGCTTCAACTATGACGAACTGCGTCTGGCCCAACCGCTGCGTTATGCGTCGGACAGCGGCTGCTCCGGCGACTGCGAACGGCATCTACAGTCGCAGCTGCCCTTTCCGCTGCTCAGCGATGTCTTCGATCCGGAGGTGGGCGAGCTGCCCGAACATCTCGGCGTTATCGTCGAGCTCAAGTGGCCGCAGCAGGACAGCAAAAGGCGCTGGGAGGGGCAGAGCTCGAGGCCATGCTTTGATCGCAACTTCTACGTGGACACCGTGCTCGAGGTCGTCTTCCGTCTGGCTGGCAAACGGCGCATTGTCTTCGCCAGCTTCGATGCGGACATCTGCATCATGATACGCTACAAGCAGAACCATTATCCCGTCACGCTGCTGCTTGTCGATCCCGAGCAGCCCATCCAGTTCCTGGATCAGCGCGTCAACCGTCTCGAGTACGGCGCCTTTCTCGCCTACATCATGGAGTTCTTCGGCCTGAGCCTCCATACGAACACGCTGCTGACACAGCCTCTGATCCTCGGCCTCATCCGGGATCTGCGCATGCAGTCGATCACCTGGGGCACGGCCAACTCGGATCTGCTCTACCGGGACAAGATGAAGCGGTACGGCTGCGTCGGCGTCACCTACGATCGCATCGATCAGCGGGATCAGGCCGGGGAGGAGATGCTCGGCTTTATCTACTTTATCGATTCGTTGGTAACGCGAAATCATATTCGCAATTTGCTCGAAAGCGAGCGAACTATCAAGTGTGCAAGATAGGATTCGAAATCGGATTCGATTCCAATCAAGCATTGTTATATTTTGAAAGGACAAAACCGACTTCCATTTGACAACTCGATTTTATAGAAAGCGCAAATTGTTTCAACTAGAAGTGAAAGTAAAATTATTTTAAGTCTAAGTTCTTCGAACTTTGCTTTAAATTATGGGCGCATCTGGCAACGCCATGTCAAAGGGAAGCTAAGTTGCTGTTCTGTAAGGTTGAAACCCTGGTTCTTAAACTAATTGGCATTCAAGTTGACAACCAGTTAGCTTAAGCTGGGAGCGCATCTGGCAACGCCATGCCAAAGGGCAGCTTTGTGGGTGTTGCCATATGTCAAGTGTTCCACAAGGTGGCAGCGCTCTTTCCATAAATTATTTATTTGGCATTCGGATTTACAAGTTAGCTTAAATTGTGGTCATGTGTGGCAACGCCATGCCCAAAGGAACTTATGTGGATGTTCCGTAAGGTGGCAGCACTGTTTCTTAAAATTTCTAAGATTATTTGTTTAGCATCAGGGTTGACAACAAGTTAGCTTAATCTGTGAACGAATGTGGCAACGTTATGCCAAAAGCTGTTTTGTGTTGCCATATTTGGAGTTGTCCGCAAGGTGGCCACACTATTTCTTCAATTTTCTCAATTAATTTATTAAGCATTTAAGTGTGGCAACTCCAAGCTCAAAGGAAGTTCTGTTGTTGTTGCCATATGTTGAGTTTTTATCAGAGTGGCAGCACTGTGTTCAAAATTGATTAGTTAACCAGTTAGGTTGACAAGAAGTTAGCATAAATTGTGGAAAAGTGTGGCAATGAAATGCCCAAAGGAACCTATGTTGGGGTGGCCATATGTTGACTGTTCTGCAAGGTGGCAGCACTGTTTCTTACAATTTTTAAAATTAACTTTTAACGTTCATGTTGACAACAAATAGGTTTAAACAATATATATCAAAATATTTGAGACGAACTAAGCCCCGATGCATGAATAACTTGGGCCATAAAAAAGGGAGTTATCTAACCATATTTGAAGGAGGTGTACGACCCGAATCTTAAGGCAGTACCTTGATTCGAGCTTAAAGTTGAACCAGTAACCTTTCTTTTCGGAGTTCCCAGTTACCCAGATAAGCAAATTATCTTTTTAAGAGCGTACCTGTGGCTCGAACCCTGAACTTCATTCTTTAGTTTAGGGAATATAAGAAGAAATTTAGGCTCTTAAGTTTGCATAGATTTTGCAGTTTATCTTGATATTCATCAAATTTCTCTTTGTTTATTTTTCCAGTTTTTTTCCGTAGTTTTTTCCCATTTGCAATTAATTACAATTAAGTACTTGAGCATGGGGCACGCCCCTTGCATTTATCAGTGTATCAACCTAACCTCACATCATCCCCTCTGGCATCATCGTTGTCAACACTAGACACACACACACACACACACGTACACACACACACACGCACACTCGCACGCACAGTGGAACGTGTAAAACTCATAAAACACATTAAATCCAATCGAATAATCGAAATGTCACATTAGTTTCTAAAATATGGCCGGACGGCACGTAAGAAAGTGTTCGTTGCCTACCTCACCTCCCCTTTCCCCTCGCACCCCCCTTACTTGCCCCCCTTTTAGGTACACCCCTGCCTTTTAACGAGCACACAAATGTGCCCAAAAAACAAGCCGAGAAAAAACTCTTTTGGCTGCGATTTGTTGTTGTTGTTGTTGTCTTTCGCTTGCACTTTCCATTGCCAATTTTCCGTTTTGTCTTTGGCCATTTCCATCTCAAGCAACAGTTTCCCCCCAGACCCCCCTCTCCCCTTGCTAAGTCCTATGGGTATAATTTCTCTGGTCGAATCGCTTTTGGGGATTTGTCTCGTTGTTTTTTGTGTTTGTGTTTTTTTTCTCTTCTCGAAATGGAAATTGCTTTCTATTCATGGGCTTTGTCCCTCTTTCCCCAGCTCGAAATCGACATTGAAAACGCATAAAAATAAACATTTCCCATTTCGCATTTACAAATTCCGCTCTGAGCCACGAGATTTATACGAAGGACTCTGCCCGGAGGCTAAGAACTTGTTTCGGGTATTACAAAAACATTTCAGAACACAAATCCAAATACAATTGCCAACTTGGGATTTGCTGTGTTTCTTGTTTGTTTGTTATTTTTTTTTGTTCTTTTTTTGTGCATAGCTTATAAATCGTACATAATTTCAATGTTATGAAATGTTTGCTTATTTTGATATTTAAGCAAAACTTGTTTAACAAGAAAGTGAAAACTTTTCGTAAATCTCCATTTTGTGTTCTCTTTCATTTTTTAATAAAATTTTAAAAATTCTCTATTAAAGAAACAAATTATTTTGAATATATAAATATATTTTAAAATATTTTATAAAAAAAATGAAATTCTATTCGATTGTAGAAAAACAAACATATTAAAAGATAGATACTTATTTAGTAAGGACTTCTATTGAAACATTCTGATTTGCGATTTGAACCCGAAATATTAATACTAAGCTGATGTAATGAATGAACCTTATCAATATTCAGATATTTTAGTTAGTCCGTTAACAGAAAATAGTTCTTACACACTCTGTTAACATTTAAAATTGATAGTTAGTAAAGGAGCGAGGCAAATTTTCAAGTCCAATTGGAATTTTCTACATTTTCTATCAAATTCTCTTGCCTTCAAGCATTTATATACAATATATTCCAAAATTTACCTAATCTCTTCAACATGATGCTGCCCCCTTCCCCTCCCCCTTCGTCTTCCTCATTCCACAGGCATTCATTTTCACTTCACTTCGGTTGGCAACCCAGGCCAAGGCAGGCGGAGGGGTTGGCAACACTGTAACTATTCCATGGCTTCACATGGTAACTTTAACTCATTTGTATGCCAAACAGCAAAAGAACTAAAAGTTTTTCTTCCATGTGCCAACCCCTCGAAGCCCTCGCCTTCGATTTTCTTTGCTCAACTCTGCACTTATTACTTATTACTGGACACACACACACACACACACACACACACACACACATATACACACGCAAAGTGAGAGGAGTCGGGGGGCAGGGAAAAAAAACCCTAGACATGTGAGACATGGAAATTCATCATCAAAAATGAATAATGTCTACACTTAATGCGACTGTAGCCCTTCCACCCCAAAAGATTGGACACTGAACACTGGACTCGTCAGACTCTGGACATTCAGGACATTCAGGATATTCAGGATAAGCAGCATCAGCATCAGCATCAGCATCGCATCGCACCCTGAACCCAATTCGCACCCCATCAAAAGGCGGGCGTGAAGACCAAGTGGCTACTCGGGGGACCTGAGGGACAGCTGAGTTGGGCAGGGGACAGGGGAAAGGGGGAAGGGACAGGGGCCGAGGCATCTATTTTCGACACTGCGCAGAAAGGTTGCTTGAATATTAATTGTGATTATGTAGAAGAGCTGGGAAAGTACACGAGAGAAAAAGGGCAACAAATGTGCAAACTTAGAAATGCAGGCGACGTGCAAGGACATCAACAGGACCAACCACATGGAGCATGCATTGCGAGGGGATGTGAGGGGGCGGAGGGGAGGGGAGCAAGGGGGCTCTGCCTGAGTCTAATAGATTTTTGTGCTGGCCATAGATAAAAATATGTTGTACAGGCGTGAGCTGTCAAAAGGAAGAACGAACTGTTTTATTCGTCGCAGTTAAAGTGATTATTGCATGCGCTACTCGTTAAAAAGATCTCGGCTGTAAAAGGATCTATCAATAGGAAAAGCTATGGGAAGTATAACCAATTTATGCAGATGTCGTGATTTTATAAATATAACATCACAAATTTATCTTGTATATTATATACTATACTTCAGTTTATATCAAGCTTTTAACGGAATTTAGTCTGGCTTTGTTCTCGGCATCTTCCTGGCATCTACATTATATCTACGTGGTATATATGAGGGTTCTTTGTGGTATCTTCCTGGTATCTTCATGGCATCTTCATGGCATCTTCATGGTATCTACAGGGTATCGTCCTGGGACCTACATGATATCTAATATGTTATATATGTGGTATCTTTTTGGTATCTGCATGGTATCTTCCTGGTATCCAAGTGATATCTACGCGGTATCCATATGTTATATACATGGTATATATGTGGAATCTACGTGGTATGTGAGTGACACCTTCGTATTATCTTCGTGGCAAGTAGGTGGTATATATGTGGCAACTATGTGGTATCTTTGTTGTCTCTTCCTAGCATCTTCCTGGTATCCATGTTATATCCATGCGGTATATGGTAATTATCTGCATGGTATATTTTTTAAATATTTTGTAGCTTTGTGGTATCTTCCTGATATCTATGTGGTATCTTCGTGACAGCTTCAGAGCATCTAACTTGCTTCTATTTGGTATCTAAGTAGTAGCTATGTAACATGGTATCTTTCTGGTATCCATGTGATATCTGCTGGGTATATATAATGGTGTATACGCAGTATACACTATGTGGTACCCTGATATCAGATACTGGATATCTAGGTGATATATATGTGGTATTTTCGTGGCATCTATTTGGTATCTACGTGGTATCTACGTAGTATCTATGTGGTATCTGCCTGTTATCCATCTGGTATCCGTATTGTATCCACCTGATATCTGTGTGTTATCTGCTTGACATCCGTGCCGTATCTTCTTGGCAATTTCATAGTATGTACGTTGTATCTTCGTGTTATATAATTAAACGTTTCTGATTTCTTTATGATCTGCTTGAATTGAATTAAAGTAAAACACTTGTGGTCAAATAACCTAAATTATATTTAAATGGTTTCCAACATTAACATAGGAACCCGAATGCTCAACTGTTTGTAGCGCAACCCTAAGAAAGTGCATGAAAGGCGACAACAAATTTTGTTACTTATGATTATTGGCACGACCTTAACCCTCGGACCAGTTGATGCACGGATATCAATATGATGTGCGCACTGCAATTGTACCGAAAGAAGCCCCACTAGAGTCGTGTGTCTGGCGACTGCTCTTGAGATTTAGGACTTAACTATTTACTAACTAGTTGGGCTTGGATTGGAATGGGATGGGATGGGATGGGATGTGGGCGTGGGATCTGACGGCAATCGGCGTAGCGTGTAAATTTAATGAGCTTTGAAATTGATTCGCGTCTCGTGTCTAATTTAGTTTGAAATCGAAATCGAAATCGAATAGAGGCCAAAATTATTGTCGAGCCTTTCGTAATGCGCACGATAAATAATGTGCAATTAATATGTAACACGTTAGCCGGTTCAACTCTAGTTAATGGCCTCAGCCAGTCGCTGGACCCGGCCATTTGTCAATTTTGATGGGCGTGTGGGTGCCATAAAAAAGCGCCAAGTCCCCAAAAAAAAATTAGGCGGTAAAGGGCAAGATTTAGTCGACTGGGAGTTGACCTGTAGCAAGAGCTGGAAAGTTCCTCAATAATTATCAAAAATTCTCGTCTAAATGTACGATAATAATAATATTATTTAAAATTTTTTAATATTAGACAAAAAAAAATATGCCAAGAAAAAGGCAAATAGATTAAATAGATTAAACCTCAATAATTATCAAAATTCACTTCTAAATGTAAGGAAAATTTCGGTATACTAAGATAATAATATTATTTGAAATATGTTAATAATAGACAAAAAATATTGAAGGAAATTGGCAAATAGATTATTTAATGGATATGTTTTGAATATGAGACCCTACAAAAGAATTTTGGAGTCTCTAGCTCTTATAATGCCCGAGATCAATGGGAACAGAGAGAGCGCTAATGGGATAAAAGTTATAGGAAGATCATTTATTGCACTTCTTACTATAAAAACCGCTAAAAACATGTTTCCAAAACTCCCCAATTCAACAATTTCTCGATTACAGGGTATACATAAAAAACTCTAGCCCAAAACTTTGGTATAAATCACCATTAAAAAAACGAAGCGCGTTCTGTAGGCAGTCACATAAAATAAAATTAACTTAAAAAGCAAATTCACGGGATATATTTTATGTGTTGGAGGCTGCCGCGTTGTCCAACGGGCAGCTCATAATTCAAGGCGTTAATCCTTTAAATAGGACATTCATGTTATCCCGCCGCAATGCTGACCATTAAAATAAAATTTATATCAATAAAATTTAATGCCCATTCTTTTTGGCTAGCGCTCAAATAAAAAACATCCTCAAATTGTGCCTTCATATTGATATTTATGTTATTTGCAAGGCATTATAACTCTTATTGGATTTATAGACGCAGAAATGTCACTCCAGCTGCTTGCTCAGCCTATTCGACTACTCGTTATTATTGTTATCTATGTGGTACGTGTGTGTGAGTGTGGGGGAGAGGGGCAGAGGGGGCGGGGAAGGGGGTGGTAAGCGAGGTTAACTTCAGTTCAGAATGTTATCAATGCGCGGAAGTCTGCCTAGTTTTGGAATTTGTCTGTCAGACTCGAAAAATATTGAGACTATGTGCACCTTACTTGGATTTTTTCATATATATATTTCACTCTTGGTACACATTCCTTCACAAGCCCCGAAATTGGAAAAACCAACAATTGTAAAGGCAGAGCCTTGGGCTTTGGTGTATGCACACTTTTGTATGCCATATTTAAGCTCTGAAAATTTCATAAGGATCGGACTATGAATGCCGGAGTTAAGTCAGACAGGTTACCTCATATATGGTTTATATATGGCATATAGAAGAAGAGGCACATCTATTTGCTTACTTCGTAATCTAAATCGTAGCTCATTTCGATGTCTCTTTAAACTAAGTCCAAGTTCCTGGAATATTTCATACCTTATACATGTGAATTTCCCCAGAAACATGTGAGTTTCCCCACTGAAAACTTCCCTTAACCCCTTTTTGGATACAGCCCATATATCATAATTGTGCTAAGCGCACATTTAACTGGCTTCAACTGTCGTTGACCGAAACATTCATAATTTCATAGAAATTAATATGAAATCAATCAAGTATTATTCGCATTTTCCCATTTTCATTCAACTCTGCCGCATCATACGCGGCGGCGGTGTGGGGTTAATGAAAAAGTTACGCATTAAAGAGGAAAAGAGGAAAAGAGGAAAAAGAGGGGGTAGGATGGGCGGGGGTGGCACAAAAGAGTTAAGAGACTGCAAAAACCGCATGAATTTCGCCTGCAAAAAAATTGTTGTCATGCTCGTCGATAGAAAGTTTCTTGGTAATTTGAGCGCAAACAATGGCAGACATTAACCCCTTATCGCCGATACGCCGAGGCCCAACCCCAACCCCAACCCCCAGCTGTGGGTTTTTGGTAGCGCATTCATTAACTGCGCAGCGCGTAATTAATCCTCGCCTTGGCCGACAAAACCAACCCTCCGAACGCAGCACGGCAATTGCATGTTGTAAATTCGATTTTCGTTTGTCATGACAACCCTTGGCCCTTGACTGCAGGGTTGTAGCTGCCTCCGGCTTCAGCTCCAGCTCGAGCCTCGGCTCGTTTGAATGCAAAACTGTTTTTGGTCATTAACCTGTCTCGAGCACTTTGCAAACTTCTATTTCTCCGCCCGGAGACCGTGGCCAGGGGGGGGGGGGAGAAGCCGGGAACGCAACAGCGAAATGCTTTCAGCTAACTTTCCAACCCCATGAACCTGGAGAGTTTCCACCATGTCACGACGCCATCTTTTTGGGCTGGGGGATTTTCCGTTGTGCCAAACTTCTTAATGAACTTTAAGCAGCCACACAAAAGGGGCGTGCAGGGGGTTGCAGGGTTGCCATCGCCTCACAGAAAAGGGTTAAACAAGTGCTAAGCGGCGCCCAAAATGACTTCATCAATCATATTTGCAGCCGGAGCCAATTTCGCATCATTTATGCTCTGCGCTGGCATTGCACAAATCGTCCAACATAGCTCGAACGAGCTAATGGATCCAGAAGGGGACGCGGTTCGAGCGGGTTAATGATTCGATTTCGGACTAACTTCCCCGGGTTAATAAATCGAAAAAGTTGCATTCGAGGAAAATGTATATAGTAACTGCGAGCTGGAAAATCAGCTTGAACTAAGAAATAAAGAACGGAATTTAAATTTTCTAGAACTTCTTTCAAGAACCTATCATAGTGAATACTAGATTCCTTAATATAGTACTTAATTTAAGAAATATTCTTTTTTTATTGAGAACGGCTTGGACTTCTTTTAAGTACGTAAGTTCTTGTTTTCATTCTTGTCTTAAGCATTTTATGGCTAATAATAGTTTTTTTTAATAGTTTTTTTTTTACTAATAATTTTTTTTAGT